CGAGCGGCAGGGACCGAGAGAGAGCGAGCGAGCGGCAGGGACCGAGAGAGAGCGAGCGAGCGGCAGGGACCGAGAGAGAGCGAGCGAGCGGCAGGGACCGAGAGAGAGCGAGCGAGCGGCAGGGACCGAGAGAGAGCGAGCGAGCGGCAGGGACCGAGAGAGAGCGAGCGAGCGGCAGGGACCGAGAGAGAGCGAGCGAGCGGCAGGGACCGAGAGAGAGCGAGCGAGCGGCAGGGACCGAGAGAGAGCGAGCGAGCGGCAGGGACCGAGAGAGAGCGAGCGAGCGGCAGGGACCGAGAGAGAGCGAGCGAGCGGCAGGGACCGAGAGAGAGCGAGCGAGCGGCAGGGACCGAGAGAGAGCGAGCGAGCGGCAGGGACCGAGAGAGAGCGAGCGAGCGGCAGGGACCGAGAGAGAGCGAGCGAGCGGCAGGGACCGAGAGAGAGCGAGCGAGCGGCAGGGACCGAGAGAGAGCGAGCGAGCGGCAGGGACCGAGAGAGAGCGAGCGAGCGGCAGGGACCGAGAGAGAGCGAGCGAGCGGCAGGGACCGAGAGAGAGCGAGCGAGCGGCAGGGACCGAGAGAGAGCGAGCGAGCGGCAGGGACCGAGAGAGAGCGAGCGAGCGGCAGGGACCGAGAGAGAGCGAGCGAGCGGCAGGGACCGAGAGAGAGCGAGCGAGCGGCAGGGACCGAGAGAGAGCGAGCGAGCGGCAGGGACCGAGAGAGAGCGAGCGAGCGGCAGGGACCGAGAGAGAGCGAGCGAGCGGCAGGGACCGAGAGAGAGCGAGCGAGCGGCAGGGACCGAGAGAGAGCGAGCGAGCGGCAGGGACCGAGAGAGAGCGAGCGAGCGGCAGGGACCGAGAGAGAGCGAGCGAGCGGCAGGGACCGAGAGAGAGCGAGCGAGCGGCAGGGACCGAGAGAGAGCGAGCGAGCGGCAGGGACCGAGAGAGAGCGAGCGAGCGGCAGGGACCGAGAGAGAGCGAGCGAGCGGCAGGGACCGAGAGAGAGCGAGCGAGCGGCAGGGACCGAGAGAGAGCGAGCGAGCGGCAGGGACCGAGAGAGAGCGAGCGAGCGGCAGGGACCGAGAGAGAGCGAGCGAGCGGCAGGGACCGAGAGAGAGCGAGCGAGCGGCAGGGACCGAGAGAGAGCGAGCGAGCGGCAGGGACCGAGAGAGAGCGAGCGAGCGGCAGGGACCGAGAGAGAGCGAGCGAGCGGCAGGGACCGAGAGAGAGCGAGCGAGCGGCAGGGACCGAGAGAGAGCGAGCGAGCGGCAGGGACCGAGAGAGAGCGAGCGAGCGGCAGGGACCGAGAGAGAGCGAGCGAGCGGCAGGGACCGAGAGAGAGCGAGCGAGCGGCAGGGACCGAGAGAGAGCGAGCGAGCGGCAGGGACCGAGAGAGAGCGAGCGAGCGGCAGGGACCGAGAGAGAGCGAGCGAGCGGCAGGGACCGAGAGAGAGCGAGCGAGCGGCAGGGACCGAGAGAGAGCGAGCGAGCGGCAGGGACCGAGAGAGAGCGAGCGAGCGGCAGGGACCGAGAGAGAGCGAGCGAGCGGCAGGGACCGAGAGAGAGCGAGCGAGCGGCAGGGACCGAGAGAGAGCGAGCGAGCGGCAGGGACCGAGAGAGAGCGAGCGAGCGGCAGGGACCGAGAGAGAGCGAGCGAGCGGCAGGGACCGAGAGAGAGCGAGCGAGCGGCAGGGACCGAGAGAGAGCGAGCGAGCGGCAGGGACCGAGAGAGAGCGAGCGAGCGGCAGGGACCGAGAGAGAGCGAGCGAGCGGCAGGGACCGAGAGAGAGCGAGCGAGCGGCAGGGACCGAGAGAGAGCGAGCGAGCGGCAGGGACCGAGAGAGAGCGAGCGAGCGGCAGGGACCGAGAGAGAGCGAGCGAGCGGCAGGGACCGAGAGAGAGCGAGCGAGCGGCAGGGACCGAGAGAGAGCGAGCGAGCGGCAGGGACCGAGAGAGAGCGAGCGAGCGGCAGGGACCGAGAGAGAGCGAGCGAGCGGCAGGGACCGAGAGAGAGCGAGCGAGCGGCAGGGACCGAGAGAGAGCGAGCGAGCGGCAGGGACCGAGAGAGAGCGAGCGAGCGGCAGGGACCGAGAGAGAGCGAGCGAGCGGCAGGGACCGAGAGAGAGCGAGCGAGCGGCAGGGACCGAGAGAGAGCGAGCGAGCGGCAGGGACCGAGAGAGAGCGAGCGAGCGGCAGGGACCGAGAGAGAGCGAGCGAGCGGCAGGGACCGAGAGAGAGCGAGCGAGCGGCAGGGACCGAGAGAGAGCGAGCGAGCGGCAGGGACCGAGAGAGAGCGAGCGAGCGGCAGGGACCGAGAGAGAGCGAGCGAGCGGCAGGGACCGAGAGAGAGCGAGCGAGCGGCAGGGACCGAGAGAGAGCGAGCGAGCGGCAGGGACCGAGAGAGAGCGAGCGAGCGGCAGGGACCGAGAGAGAGCGAGCGAGCGGCAGGGACCGAGAGAGAGCGAGCGAGCGGCAGGGACCGAGAGAGAGCGAGCGAGCGGCAGGGACCGAGAGAGAGCGAGCGAGCGGCAGGGACCGAGAGAGAGCGAGCGAGCGGCAGGGACCGAGAGAGAGCGAGCGAGCGGCAGGGACCGAGAGAGAGCGAGCGAGCGGCAGGGACCGAGAGAGAGCGAGCGAGCGGCAGGGACCGAGAGAGAGCGAGCGAGCGGCAGGGACCGAGAGAGAGCGAGCGAGCGGCAGGGACCGAGAGAGAGCGAGCGAGCGGCAGGGACCGAGAGAGAGCGAGCGAGCGGCAGGGACCGAGAGAGAGCGAGCGAGCGGCAGGGACCGAGAGAGAGCGAGCGAGCGGCAGGGACCGAGAGAGAGCGAGCGAGCGGCAGGGACCGAGAGAGAGCGAGCGAGCGGCAGGGACCGAGAGAGAGCGAGCGAGCGGCAGGGACCGAGAGAGAGCGAGCGAGCGGCAGGGACCGAGAGAGAGCGAGCGAGCGGCAGGGACCGAGAGAGAGCGAGCGAGCGGCAGGGACCGAGAGAGAGCGAGCGAGCGGCAGGGACCGAGAGAGAGCGAGCGAGCGGCAGGGACCGAGAGAGAGCGAGCGAGCGGCAGGGACCGAGAGAGAGCGAGCGAGCGGCAGGGACCGAGAGAGAGCGAGCGAGCGGCAGGGACCGAGAGAGAGCGAGCGAGCGGCAGGGACCGAGAGAGAGCGAGCGAGCGGCAGGGACCGAGAGAGAGCGAGCGAGCGGCAGGGACCGAGAGAGAGCGAGCGAGCGGCAGGGACCGAGAGAGAGCGAGCGAGCGGCAGGGACCGAGAGAGAGCGAGCGAGCGGCAGGGACCGAGAGAGAGCGAGCGAGCGGCAGGGACCGAGAGAGAGCGAGCGAGCGGCAGGGACCGAGAGAGAGCGAGCGAGCGGCAGGGACCGAGAGAGAGCGAGCGAGCGGCAGGGACCGAGAGAGAGCGAGCGAGCGGCAGGGACCGAGAGAGAGCGAGCGAGCGGCAGGGACCGAGAGAGAGCGAGCGAGCGGCAGGGACCGAGAGAGAGCGAGCGAGCGGCAGGGACCGAGAGAGAGCGAGCGAGCGGCAGGGACCGAGAGAGAGCGAGCGAGCGGCAGGGACCGCGAGAGAGAGCGAGCGGCAGGGACCGAGAGAGAGAGAGCGAGTGGCAGGGACAGAGAGAGAGACGTGCAGGTACAGGGAGCCAGCAGCGGGGACAGGGGGCCGGGACACGGGGGAGGGGAGGTAACAAACGTGATAGGAGAGGGAGGAGAGAGACATTGGATCTCAGTGACGTCACCTCATCTTTGGATATGCCGGCCTGTTTCCGGCGGTTCCACTCGCTGTAGTGCAGACATATGCCGTTGCGGTCGAACACGTACAGGTTGTGAATCGTCATCTGGTTAGGAAGGAGGAAAAAAACTTCAGTTACTTAGAAACCACAAATAATGTAATAACACGGTGACATTAATCTCCATCATAAACTCCGCTCCTTGCTGGGTGAGCGATGGAAGCTTCACCACATCAGACAGCTGTGTGTCGGCAGCCATGCTGGGAGGTGAATCTAGTTTCAGGGGGGGCACACAAGGACTATTCTGGCTAGTAAAGGAAATGCAATGCAGCCAGCGCCGTCTGTGCTTTGATGGGGCTTTTACTTTATCCTGGTCCCAGTTATCACCGAGTGTGAACGTGAGAGAAAACTCCACATTTTGATTTATCACCAGAACAGGAATAGATGGGAAATCTTCCAAAGGGGACACTAGTTCATAGTGATCACTCCTCACTTTGGAGTGATTTCCTTCCACTTCCTGTTCTGGCTATTGGACAGGAAGTAAAGGGATATCTAATGGAACTCAGAATGCAAAATTTAAGCACAGTTTAAAGGGCATCACCAAATGCCACAACGCTGCTACCCGCCAGCTATAAGTATCTGAACAGTCGAAGAGATCGAATAGCTTGTACCTCCTGTAGTGACATACATGGTGGGGGGAGGAACCACTGTGTTAATGTAACACACAGGGAACTGGGGGCCAATGTAACATGTATTTAGGGGGAACACAATAAATGTGACACAAAAGGAAATAAAAATACATCATTGAAATAATAATACATGAGGGCTCATAAACATTATCAACGTCACAGCTATTATTTATATTGAAACCACAGTAACAAACAGCTCACCCTACAGCCTCTCTCAGCTCTTCCGGGACCAGAATACGGCCAGCCTCTCACGTGACTCCTTCCACTTCCTGGGAATAAGCAGGGTATTTCCAGCAGTAAAGATGGCGATAACTGCTCTGTTACTCGAGAGCAACGCTAACTATTGAAAAAAAATTTAAAAAAAGGTTAAAAAAGTAAAAAACACACAGCACGCTGCTTGTCTCCAATCCTGTGCGCGCGCAAACCCGTTTTTGAGAGCTGAAGAAGGAGCGGATAGGGTGTACCAAGATGGCGGCACGGAAAAAGGGAAGTTGGTGAGGGTTGCTATGGTGAAGCTGTTGGCGGCGGTCGGTCGGTCGGTCGCGGGAGAGTGACGTCGAACGGATGGCGGTCCCGCAGGCGGGTTTTAAAGAAGAGGAGACGTTACAGTGTCAACACCGAGAGAGAGGAGGCAGCTGGGTGAGTGCCGGTGGTCACCAGTGTTATATATGTAAAGACGGTGGTGATTCACTATAATACATTGCACGCCTTTTGTTTTGGTGCCCCTGATATATATATATATATATATGTATGTATGGTATTGTATTAATCTGAATGTTTAATTGGGCTTGGATATTATTTGTATTGTGTACTCTGTATGTATAGAGAGGAAAAAATGGTATTTTTTCTTGCTGTGTGCTGTCCAGATGAGTCGCACAGCATGAGACTTTAGTCTGATCTCCCCTGCCATACTCCTGTATAGATGGTTCATACAGCACGTATCACCTAATACAATGATATAGAATGTACTGATACCACACAGCACACTCAATGTCTACTTTTATAGTCACATTGCTTGGTGTGCTGGGGTGACAGTACAATGTCAATTGAAGCTGATGTTCTATAGTCTTAGAGTACGCTGTGCCCTACCTCTTTCCTATGTCCACAGTCCATATGAAAGAGGTAGTGTTGCCGAGCGGTCTAAGGCGCTGGATTAAGGCCCCAGTCTCTCTGGAGGCGTGGGTTCGAATCCCACTGCTGCCAACATTTGTTTTTCAGATGTGTTCTAACAACTTGCTGCCCACACCGCTCTTAGTTTATTATATGGCCAGAGGCCGCGGACCTGCTCCGAGGCCGCGTACCTACTGCAGGATATCACCAGAAGCCTGGTATCTACTACAGGGGATGGGCAGAGGCTGCCGACCTACTGCAGGACACCACCAGAAGCCTGGGACCTACTACAGGGGATGGCCAGAGGCTGCCGACCTACTGCAGGACACCACCAGAAGCCTGGTATCTACTACAGGGGATGGCCAGAGGCTGCCGACCTACTGCAGGACACCACCAGAAGCCTGGGACCCGCTAAGGCTGGGTTCACACCTGGGCGTTTTTCCGCGCTTTCGTGCTCGCGGAAAAAAAGCTCAAACAGGGAAATGCCATTATTTTCAATGTGCATGGTTCCCATCTGGGCGGTTTTTCCTTGAGTACGAACGCGTGGGAAACCGCCCTACACCCTCCTGTCACCCGCTCCGTTGTCAAGGAGGTAGCGTGGCCGAGCGGTCTAAGGCGCTGGATTAAGGCTCCAGTCTCTTCGGAGGCGTGGGTTCGAATCCCACCGCTGCCAAGTACTTAGTTTTCCAAATGTGTTTGAAATTCTTTCTGTACATTCTACTCTTATTTTAAGAGATGATGCCATGCATGGTTTAGGGACTGCAGGCACGCTTTGGGAGATGGTGAGAGGCGACAGGCACGCCGTGGGAGATGGTGAGAGGCGGCAGGCACGCGGTGGGAGATGGTGAGAGACTGCTGGCACGTCGTGGGAGATAGTGAGAGGCGGCAGGCACGCCGTGGGAGATGGTGAGAGACTGCAGGCACGCGGTGGGAGATGGTGAGAGGCGGCAGGCACGCGGTGGGAGATGGTGAGAGACGGCAGGCACGCGGCGGGAGATGGTGTGAGATGGATCCTCACTGGGAATGTTTTTATGCTGATCCCATTTTATGGCTAACATAATAGAGAAACAGTAGAATACAATTGTTTTCTAACAACTCGGTGGCACGGGCTTCCCACCCATGTGGTGTCCACCCACAACCAAGATGGTAGCGTGGCCGAGCGGTCTAAGGCGCTGGATTTAGGCTCCAGTCTCTCTGGAGGCGTGGGTTTGAATCCCACCGCTGCCAATAGTTTGTTTTCCAAATGCTTTCTAAGAACTTGCTGCACACCTCTCTTATGTTATGAGCTGATGCCCTATAGCAGATGGACAGAGACTAAGTCTGGCTAAGGTCAGAGTTTTGTGTGAATAATGGCAAAAACAAACGTTCCTAATACATTTTCCTTTCAGGTCAAATGTATTAGGGATGTAATACCACATTATGGCCACTAGATGGAGCGGAGCTGCATAGGACTTGAGTATTTATTTCCTCAGCTCCATCTAGTGGCCACAACGCAGTATTACATCAGAATACATTCGACCTGAAAAGAAAATGTGTGTGATTTTGCCATTATTCACACAAATTGAGTGATTACAGATACTCGCAGGGTGCCCTGTTTATAGCTAGACTTAGTGAAGAGGTTAAAAAAAAAAAAAAGCTCCAGCAGTTCCGCTGCAGTGAAACTACAAATTGCATATGCATCTGCCTCTGGGAGTCATGCCTGTGGCTGTCAGAGTCTTGTAATGCCTAATGGGATTTGTAGTTGCACCACAGCTGGGGGGGTGGAGGGTGCCTACCCCTGCTTTAGTGTCTACGGTCAACCTGCTATGTGTACTATCACGGTGGGGTTATGTTCATGCAGCGTGTGTGTGTGTGTGTGTGTGTTTGGTATGATGATATAGGGCCCATTCACACCACATCAAGATTACCTCCAGACCAGACAAGACTGTTTCTGGTCTGAACCTATGTATCCCTATGCTTTTTTCTGGCCTCTGCCCACCAGCGCAGTCCATTCCGCACCAGACCAGAAATATACTGCTTGTCCTATTTTTGTCTGGTCTGCAATGTACTGGAACTCATCAAAAACGCACGAAACGCACCTGTAAGACCATTTAAAGTTGTTTTTTTTTTACATTCCAATTGCGGCAAAAATGCAATGCACTATGTTCCAGATCTGGTCCGGAAAATGGTGTGAAGCCAGTCTTGGTCTGCACAAGACGTTTGCTCGCCTGTGCTGGAGTCTTCGCATCCCCTAACAGGTTGGTAGCGTGGCCGAGCGGTCTAAGGCGCTGGATTAAGGCTCCAGTCTCTTCGGAGGCGTGGTTTCGAATCCCACTGCTGCCAGGAACTCTTTTTTATTGTCCCTAGAAGAGTTCTGCTTCTGTACCTAGCTGTAATATTCCAAATAGAACCAGTTCACCATAACACCTCCCTGCAGCCATATACACATAACCCCGAGGGGGGGGGCCTTAAAGGCGATTTCCACTTTTTCATACATTTTTATATTTGTTACATGTCCCCCATCACATCGCATAGCTTAAAAAATATTTGATAATTGCTGCTGACATGTAGTTTAACCTAATGAACCCTGTCTGTACGGTGCTGGCAGATCTCATTATCAGTCGTGAACTAGGATTTGAACTCTGACTGATTAAAGATCTAGAAGCATTGAATGTTAATGAGAGGAAGCACAGTCTGTCCCTGGTCTCTCTGTGGGGACAGACAGTTTCCTGTCACTTGGAAATTGGACGGAGAATCTCTGAGGACTACACAGAGACATCTGAAAGGTAGGAATAGTGTTTTGTATTCTTTTTCTGTATATGTGTGTGAGTGGGAACACATAACAAACATATCGTTGGGGGTCTCACATTTGTCTGCAGAAGTGGAAATTAACTTTAACCCCTGTCCCGCTCCTCTGTACTGAGAGTGTACTCACTAGCGCCCTCCCAGGACAGTGACCGAGCCGCCACTGACAGCTGACGGCCCTTTTTTATGTTCGGGAAACTGTGGGATGGGCTGCTGATCATGTGACCTCAAGGACCGCTAATGACAGCGATCACATTACCGAGCTTGCACTAATACTGGTGGAACTGGGCTTCTGATCATGTGACCACCAGGACAGCCAATGACAGCGATCACATTACCGAGCTTGCACTAATACTGGCGGAACTGGGCTGCTGATCATGTGACCACCAGGACAGCCAATGACAGCGATCACATTACCGAGCTTGCACTAATACTGGTGGAACTGGGCTGCTGATCATGTGACCACCAGGACAGTCAATAGCAATGAGCACATGACTAGGATCCCATTTCCACTGGTGTCGGTGGCAGCTCGGTAATGCAATCTCTCCTTGGCTGGCCTAATGGTCACATGATCTGGAGCCGTAAAAAGTGACCGCTAGGCCAGCCAATGACCGCAGTCACATTACTGAGCTCTCACTGACACCGGTGGTAATGCGCTTCCAATCATGTGATCACTGCCATTGGCTGCCCTAGTGATCACATGATCGAGAGCTCATCCTCTCCCCCCACTCCCAATCGTAAAAATAAGTGACTGGCATGTGTCAGTGTCGGTTTGGTCACTGTGCTTGGAGAGTGCTAGTGAGTACACCAGGGGTAGCCAAACTTTGGCCCTCCAGCTGTGGTGGAACTACAAATCCCATGAGGCATTGCAAGATTCTCACAGCCACGACTCCCAGAGAGCTGCATCATGGGATTTGCAGCTTCAGCACAGCTGGAGGGGCGGAGTTTGGCTACCCCCAGAGTACAGCCCATAGAGCAGCGGGCCGAATGACTTATATACGCGCACATCCAGCGTTGGGGCCACCCCTCGGGGGCAATGTCTATATGCCGGCAGGGAGGTGTTGCGGTGAACTGGTTGTATTTGATCAATATTATTGATCGGTATATTAGCAGATCTCTTTAATAAGCCAATAAAAAGGAGTTCCTGGCAGCGGTGGGATTCGAAACCACGCCTCCGGAGAGACTGGAGCCTAAATCCAGCGCCTTAGACCGCTCGGCCACGCTACCTCTTTCCTGTGGTCTGTGGACACCAGCATGGGCACACCGTACTCTAAGATGGGGCACACATGGGCACACCGTACTCTATAAACTGGGCACCCTGCGAAAATCTGTGCTGTGTGCAAATAACGGCAAAAACTAACGTTCTTTATATATTTTCTGAATACAAAATGTTTGAGGAACGTCCGTATATGCCAGTATTCAGACAAAACTAATGCTTGCCGGCCATGACCATCTCCTACACGGTGTCGGCTCGTAACATAAGAGCGGTGTGTACAGCAAGTTGTTAGAACACATTTGGAAAACAAAGTATTTGGCAGCGGTGGGATTCGGTGGTGTCCTGCAGTAGGTCAGCAGCCTCCGGCCATTCCTTGTAGTAGATACCAGGCTTCTGGTGGTGTCCTGGGAGTAGGTCCGCAGCCTCTGGCCATCCCCTGTAGTAGATACCAGGCTTCTGGTGGTGTCCTGCAGTAGGTCAGCAGCCTCCGGCCATTCCCTGTAGTAGATACCAGGCTTCTGGTGATATCCTGCAGTAGGTACGCGGCCTCTGAGCAGGTCCGCGGCCTCTGGCCATATAATAAACTAAGAGCAGTGTGGGCAGCAAGTTGTTAGGACACATTGGAAAAACAAATGTTTGGCAGCGGTGGGATTCGAACCCACGCCTCCGAAGAGACTGGAGCCTTAATCCAGCGCCTTAGACCGCTCGGCCACGCTACCAATCTGTCAGGGTTGCTGAGACTGCGGCACAGGGGAGCAAACGTCTTGTACGGACCAAGACTGGCTTCACACCATTTTATGGACCAGATCTGGAACATAGTGCATTGCATTTTTGCCGCAATTGGAATGTAAAAAAAAAAACATGTTAAAATGGTCTTACAGGTGCGTTTCATGCGTTTTTGATGCGTTCCAGTACATTCCAGACCAGACAAAATAGGACAAGCAGTATTTTTCTGGTCTGGTGCGGAACGGACTGCGCTGGTGGGAACAGAGGCCAGAAAAAGCATAGGGATACATAGGTTCAGACCAGAAACAGTCTTGTCTGGTCTGGAGGTAATCTGGATGTGGTGTGAATGGGCCCTATATCATCATACCACACACACACACACACACACACACACACACACACACACTGCATGAACATAACCCCACCGTCATAGTACACATAGCAGGTTGACCGTAGACACTAAAGCAGGGGTAGGCAACCTCCAACCCTCCAGCTGTGGTGCAACTACAAATCCCATTAGACTCTGACAGGCATGACTCCCAGAGGCAGATGCATATGCAATTTGTAGTTTCACTGCAGCGGAACTGCTGGAGCTTTTTTTTTTTTTTTTTAACCTCTTCACTTCTAGCTATAAACAGGGGACCCTGCGAGTATCTGTAATCACTCAATTTGTGTGAATAATGGCAGAATCACACACATTTTCTTTTCAGGTCGAATGTATTCTGATGTAATACTGCATTGTGGCCACTAGATGGAGCTGAGGAAGGAAATACTAATTTCCTATGCAACTCCGCTCCATCTAGTGGCCATAATGTGGTATTACATCCCTAATACATTTGACCTGAAAGGAAAATGTATTAGGAACGTTTGTTTTTGCCATTATTCACACAAAACTCTGACCTTAGCCAGACTTAGTCTCTGTCCATCTCCTACAGGGCATCAGCTCATAACAGAAGAGCGGTGTGGGCAGCAAGTTCTTAGAATGCATGTGGAAAACAAAGTATTGGCAGCGGTGGGATTCGAACCCACGCCTCCAGAGAGACTGGAGCCTAAATCCAGCGCCTTAGACCGCTCGGCCACGCTACCATCTTGGCAGATATCATTATGGTTGAGCAGAAGTTGGCAAACGTGCAGTTATGCTAAACTTCTTACAACTAGAATAACCTTATGAGCACAGTACACATAGCAGGCAAGCAAAAGTAGGCATTGGGGTGAGTCAGCGGCCTCCCGGCCATCCCCTGTAGTAGGCCCGCGGCCTCTGGCCATTCTCTGTAGTAGATACCAGGCTTCTGGTGGTGTCCTGCAGTAGGTCAGCAGCCTTCGGCCATTCCCTGTAGTAGGTCCCAGGCTTCTGGTGGTGTCCTGCAGTGGGTCCGCAGCCTCCGGCCATTCCCTGTAGTAGATACCAGGCTTCTCGTGGTGTCCTGCAGTGGGTCCGCAGCCTCTGGCCATCCCCTGTAGCAGTTCCGCGGCCTCTGGCCATATAATAAACTAAGAGCGGTGTGTGCAGCAAGTTGTTAGAACACATTTGAAAAACAAATTATTGGCAGCGGTGGGATTCGAACCCACGCCTCCAGAGAGACTGGAGCCTAAATCCAGCGCCTTAGACCGCTCGGCCACGCTACCTCTTTCCTGTGGTCTGTGGACACCAGCATGGGCACACCGTACTCTAAGATGGGGCACACATGGGCACACCGTACTCTAAGACTATAAAACTACAGCTTCGCCTTAGACCGCTCGGCCACACTACCATTTCAGGTATGAGAGGTGGGACACCAAAAGGGTGGGAAGCCGGTGCCAATGAGTTCTTAGAGAAGCAATAGAATACAATTGGTGTCTATCATGTTAGCCATAAAATGGGATCAGCCTGATGGCAAACCTGCTAAGGAGATTCACAATGTGTCCTTCCATTATATCATCTGCAAAAAAACACTCCCAGTGAGGATCCGGCCTCCAATATTTACTCGGCAACTCCTGAACACAGCCGAGCACTGTATTGGTTCTGTCACTGAGATGGGAGATCAGTTATTGTATGGGAAGAATATAATAAAAGCACTGCTGAGATTCCAACTCAGGATCTCCCTGTTTACTAGACAGGCACATTAACCAACTAAGCCACAGCGCCCCATTCATAGCACAGAGGGAGTCTATCACAGTGCAGCCCATCCACACACTGTGCCTCCATTTATAGGGGGTGCCGATCATTTTGTTCTCCTTTCCTTTCTTCCTCCCTCCCTCCCTCCCTCCCTTTCTTTCTCTCCTTTTCTTCTTCCTCCCCCTCCTTTTTCTCTCCTTTCTTCCTCCCTCCTCCCTTTTCTCTCCTTTCTTCCTCCCTCTTCCCTTTTCTCCTTTCTTCCTCCCTCCCTCCCTTTCTCTCCTTTCTTCCTCTCTCCCTCCCTTTCTCTCCTTTCTTCCTCTCTCCCTCCCTTTCTCTCCTTTCTTCTCCTTTCTTCCTCCCTTTTCTCTCCTTTCTTCCTCCCTTTTCTCTCCTTTCTTCCTCCCTTTTCTCTCCTTTCTTCCTCCCTTTTCTCTCCTTTTCTTCCTCCCTTTTCTCTCCTTTTCTTCCTCCCTTTTCTCTCCTTTTCTTCTTCCCTCCTCCCTTTCTCTCCTTTCTTCCTCCCTCCCTTTCTCTCCTTTCTTTTCTTCTTCCTCCCTTCCTTCTTCCTTTCTTCCTTCCTCTTCCACCCCGATCACAGTCAGTGTGTTGCTAATAAAGATAAGAAATGCTCATTTTTTTTCTACGTGTTCACTTATTTCTTTTCTCTAAGTGGACCTCTCCCTGTAATGTTGTCACCACAAGGCAGAACATAAAGGGGTCTATTTATGAATGTTTGCACACATGATTCACACCACTTTCACCCAATATTCTCACAGTGTTCTAACCGGGTTCATGACTTATGTACTGTAAAGAAAGATATCTCGGTGGTTTTGCATTTCTATTTACTTATGATTTTTACGGTATATATATTACCGGGCTGATATGAGAGTAAAAAATACCATAATTGTGGCCAGCAGGGGGAGCCCTCGTCTCTCTTCTGTGCTTTCTTCTCTATAAAGTACACCCATGAGACAACGCCATTGTCGCAGGCGCAGCCATAAACTTTTATTTATTAAATGTATTTAATGTAATTAAATGGGCCAATCAGCGTTGTTACACGGGAAGTCCATAGTCCTGTTTAAAGCCAACCTTGCATGAGGCCTTGTTCTTTTGTAGCTCCCAACCCCAATAAAGAATACTTTTTTTTTTTTTTTTTTTTAAAAGGGAGAAAAAAAGAAGTAAAATATATTCTAGATCAGCGGTGGGCAAGCCCGGCCCTCTGGCTGTGCTTTAACTGCACATCCCAACATGCCTCTGGGAGTCAGGCCTGTAACTGTGAGCCCTGCAATACCTCCTGGGACTTGTAATTCAACAGCAGCTGGAAATCCGAGGTTGGCCACCCCTGGCTTACAATTACAGGTATCCTATAAAGCAGGAATGGGCAACTCCAGCTGTGGTTTACCTGCAAATCCCATCCTGCCTCTGGGAGTCATTCCTGTAACTGTGTCAGCCTTGCAGTGCCTCATGGGGTTTGTAGTTCAACAGCACCTGAAGAGCCGGAGTTGCCCACCCCTGTTCCAGAAGGCAACGTCATTGAGCGTTCTCTGGGGATGCTGACAACATGGAGGATCTGGAAGTCTCATGAGACTCGGACCACGCTGGAGCGACAATGCACGCCAGTGTGTTGCTGCATGCCGCATTGTGCTGCCATGCATGCTCATTGGGCACCGTATTGCACAAAGGCAAAGGAATTTTCTATGCTCCTCAGTGTGATCTAGTGGCCTGGTGTAGCGAGGAGCTTATCCGTGTTTACTAGGATGATGTCATTGCTCCGAGCCATAGTTCTAGGAAACACGGCCATGTCGTAGGGTGACAACACAGCATTTTGCTGACTCAGCTGCAGTGGTGACACGAGTACAGGAAGTGGGGAAAGAGCCGTGCTGATGCTCAGATCACATGTACCTGTTTGGCAATCAACACCATATAACCTTCCTTGTCATGCTGCATTATATGTGTATATTTGGTTGTAGACCACAGTTCTACTTCCAGCTTTGACTGTTTATTTGTTGTGTTGGAGTTTTCATGCTGAACGTCAAAGTCAATGAAATTCCTTCTCTCCTCTCCAGGTCTGGCCCTTTCCATTCCATGGCGCTCCCTCATGCCTTCTCACTACGAGATGCTTCTCTTCTCAGCGGTATAGAGCCCCTTCCTCTGTCCTCGCCTCCATCTCCTCACCGTTCCTTCACTAACCCCTCCTCGCCTCCACCTGCCCTCTTCTCCCCTTCCACCATCCGACGCGCCGCTTCTTCCGAAGTCACCGCTCAGCTATACGCCTCCCTGAGACGAAGCCGAGAGCTGGATGAAGAGGAGAGGGACGTGGAACCCAAACGTTCGACCTCTGCAGAGCAGGAACCGGTTGAAGGTTCTACCATGAACTCCGAGGAGGACAGCCTCGCCGATGAAATGTCACGCAGGCTGCAGGAAGGCATAGAGGCATCTGGGCGAAAGGTAAGACCCCTGGGCGTGTTATTGTCCTAGGGGAAAGCATTAGGACTTAATGTCAACTAGGGATGCACCGATATATCGGCCGCCAAAACATATCGGCTGAAAATGGCACTTTTGGCATGATGCCGAAAGTGCCATTTTTCTGGCTGATACAGCGGTGCATCTGTGTATTCTCTCCTCCCCACTGGGCGCTGCTCTGTGTCCCAGAGGAGAGAAACTGTCACAGGCGGCCGAGCGCTGCGGGAGAAGAGCGCCTTGAGCGGCCGACGTCTCCTTCCACACCGCTCAGCCTCCTGTTACATATCAGAAGAGAGCAGTGTGGGCGGAGACAGCCAGCGCTGTCACAGGAGGCTGTCAGTGCAGGGAGAAGAGACGTCGGCTGCTCACAGCGCTCTTCTCCCGCAAGGGACACGAGTGGTAACGAACACGTAAAGACCCCACTCTGAATTAAAAATGACGCCGTATGTTGTTAGCTTGGTGCACCGATTTAACTGGTTTTCCTTTCAATCTTGCAGGAAGCGTCTTCCTACATCTCTCAGATGGAATCGTTGAGGGGTCACCTGAAAAACATGCTGACCCTGGGTAGTGCATTGACAGTACATGGTAAGTGGAGGACTTCTGGTGTACGTGACAGTATACAGGGGCCGGATTCATGCATTGATCATGTCTCTTCTCACAGGTGACATTCCGGATAAGGCTCTGGAGCAACACAGCGACTGCACAAGCACCCTGCTGAGGTATGTCACGCCGCGTCATCTAGTGGACAGAAAGGGTCACTACTCTGCCCATAGAAAGCACCATAACACAATCTTATGATGTGTTCTAGCACCTGTAAGATCTTTATTATATAGAGAATAAAAAGTATTTTAATATGCACATTATCCTGTTTTCTCACAACCTGTATCAGTAATATATCTCTCCCAGGCATTCTTGATTATCACATGTATTGTGCTCTATACAGAATGCTTCAAGGAGCTCACCATTATAGTCATGTGACTGTTTTTACCCCCCCTATTCATTTGCTCTTAAAGGTAAGAGTGACACACAAATAAGATACATTGTTGTTCATAGTTCAGGTATTTAAATGTATTTTGAAGATTTTAAAGGAGATCTATGAGGTGAGTGATCTCCACTCATCCTCCTAGTTAGAGCCGACATGTGACAAAGAAGCTATCACGGGTCGGCTCTATCGATCGGGAAGTGAGCAGAAACATGCACCGATCCGCTCACTTTCCGATTATCTCCCTGCGTAGAGCGGTGACTGTCAGTCACCGTTCCCCGCAGGGGTTCCCCCCTCCCCTCTCCGATCCTCCAGCACTAACTGGAGGAACGAACAGTGGGAGGGGGCGGGCACAGCCGGCTCTGCCTCTAGATAGGCAGAGCCAGCTGTCACTCGCGCAGCTGGCTGGATCCAGACAGTAATGTCGGGATCCGTCCCGGCTCCAGTGCTCCCAGTATATCGCCAGCAATAACCCACTGTATACTGAGCTTTGGCTTACAGGAGGAGGTTAGTATATGTCCTCCCGTGACCCTAAAGAGAACCATGGGGAAAAACACTTACCCCATAGTTCTCTTTTAACTCCTGAGTTTAGTGTCACTTTAAGGGGGCTATGCCTTTTTAAGTCTAAGCAAGCAAAGCAGAAAGCATGGTTGCAAATCTCATCTTTATGCTTAAAAAATAATTAAAAATGTCATTTTTAAAATGTGTATATAGCATCAGGGGCATATGCACTGCAAGGCACATAAGGCGTTTGCCTTGGGCGGCACTTTCCAGAGGGTGGCAAAAAACGCTGGCCCAAAACCAATGAGGCGCAGGGCCACACTAGCCATCAGGCACTTACCCGGCGAGCTGGGACCGCACAGAATCAAGATAGCGGCGAACGCAAGGCCCAGTGGGGGGGTTGGTGCAGAGCCCACCTGAGACGCTGGCAGGAATGATACAGTGTGCGCATGTTACTATTTAAACAAGTGCTTGCTGTATCCAGCGACTGACGGGTTACACAACATGTGTTAAGCAGGAAGGGGTGGGACAAATTTAGGTGGGGGGGGTTGCCCGAATTTTTAGTCTTGCGTAGGGCAGCACAAAACCAAAATACACCACTGTATAGTATTGTAACCATGTTACTAGAGACTGCTCTTGTATGTTACATTAGACTATTGCCAGGTTCTAGTAGACTGTTAGATTGCTGCCACTGCGTACTTCAATGTACATGAAACCTTTTCACTCAGGTATTTGTAGGGTGCTGTGGCTTAGTTGGTTAAAGCGCCTGTCTAGTAAACAGGAGATCCTGAGTTCGAATCTCAGCAGCGCCTGGTGTTATTTTCTTTTTGACCACGAGCTGTCCCAAAGAGAATAACATTGGATACTCGGGTGTGTCTGCCGTATAGTAAGAGACAATATTTGCTTATTCTCTGAATAGTTTGGTTTGTTTATGTGAGCAGACTTTAAGGCAGAAGGCTGTTTAGTCGCAGCTTTTATTAGAACAAAAGATTTCAAACCTTATTCCTTCCTCTGCTCCGAAGCACAGGAAAAGAAATGGTTACTGACTTGGATGTTCGCCCATTACACAATTTCAGGCTTTGTGAACATGTTGGGTACCATTAGCATGCCGATCAGAGAGTCCTGACTGCAGTGGATGCCTGCATGTTCTAAGTCAGTGACTCGAACATGCAAGCCAGAGACAGCCAGGCAGCTAGCATTTTCAGAAGGAAGATGACTATGTCAGACTCAATCTCATCTCAGAAACTGAGCTGATGCTGAAATGGCTCGCAACATTACTGTACTGCAACCTGATGCATGTGACTTGTCTTACTATACTACTCTACATTGAGGGTGTCACAGACAGGGGTCCCTATCCACTGACCAGGAGACAGTTCAGGAAATACAGGAGTGCACCTGTGGCTGGGTGGAGACACGGATGTCACAGAGGCGTTCAGGAAGCAGAGGAGTCAGAGTGACACAGGATGCTCCGGGGGTTCCTGCGTGAGACGGGATGCTCATGGGTCACGGTGACATAGGAGTCACAGGAGATGCTGGGGTCATAGTAGACGCATGAATCGCTAAAGATGCTGGGGTCACAGGAGTCACTAAAGACACAGGAGCCCAGGGGGTCACTGAAGATGCTGGGGCCACAGGAGTCACTAAAGACACCAGAGTGTTGGGGTCACTGGAGACAAGGGAGTCACTGGAGACGCTGGGTTTCCTTAAGACATAGCAGAATTAGGGTCACTAAAGGACACAAAAGTCACCGAAGATGCTGGGGTTACTGGGACACAAGTCACTGGAGACACAGGAGCTCCGGGGTCACAGGAGACCGGTGTCACTAAAGTCACAGGAGTTTAGGGGTTACTGAAGGTGCTGGAGACACAGGAGGATTGGGGTCACTGGAGACACAGGAGTTACTAAAGACACAAGAGCACTGAAGACACTGGGGGTCATTGGAGAGACAGGAGTCTTTGGGCTCTCTCTGGAGACCCTGGGGTCACCACAAACAAAGGCGTTATTGGGGACACAGGAGCACTAGGGTCACCAGAGATGCTGGGGGGGGTCACCAAAGACCCAATGAACACTGGAGACACATGAGGGCACTGAGGGAAGCAGCGAGGTGTTCCCTTAAGTGTAGTGACACGGTGCTCAATCACTGAGCAACACATTACATAGTCCTTTTAACGTGTCACCTGCTTCCTGATTGGCTGCAGCCATCCAGGTGAAATCTAGAAGTTCTGTTGGTGGCACACCAGAGAGGAGACCCAGCACTGGATCAGGGAAGAGTTGAGTGTGACAGAGGGTAACTCATCGGTATCCTCACCACCCCAGGTTCCCGTTCAAAGCAGCCAATCTGTGCCCAGGTCCTTTGTTTTGTAACAGAGTATACTGGCAGATGTATTTGGGGAAGAAGTGTATCTAGAGCCAAAACCTTTTGATACATTTTAACTACAGTGTTGCTTGTTATTGCTGTCTTACCCCCCCTGGGGAGATTTAGGGCCGGTGCACACCTAGGCGACACCTCGCAGCACGGCAATCGTGCACGATGCAGTCAGGAGTCGCCTAGGTGTGCACCAATCGCGGAACGTGTCGCTAGGTGTGCACCAGGCGGATCGTACAGTTTCCTAAAATAGCCGCGCGTCGTGTATCGCAAAAAAAAAGGTACTTGTACCTTTTTTTCTGCGATTGCCACGCGCATTTAACCCCATTGAGATCAATGGGGCCTGCATTCTGCAGGACGCATGATCCCAGATCGCGTAGGTCTGCAGCGGGCCTTACCCTCTCTAGTTGTCCTGGTGATCATTGCGGAGCTTGCTTTTTTTTTTAAAGGGATAAAACATGGAGGATGTGCGTCAAATGCAGAGATGTACTGCATATGGTTTTTTTTAGGTGTTTTTATTTTTTTATCTTGCCCTGACATACACATTTTTCCACATTATGAAGGAAGGTTCAGGAATGTCTGTGAAATTTTAATTTTGTGTCTAAAGTTATATTTTAAGGTCAGGGGTCACACTACTGCATTGCAAGGACCCCTGTATTGGAGATGACAGGTTCAATAAAGAGAACCTGTCACCTCCAAAGGCTATCGCACAGGGGATTGTTAGCTCCTGTGTAATAACAATAAAGTTAAGTGAAAAAAATAATTACATAAACAAATAACTAAAAAATTAATAAGTAATAATAATGAAATTGCACATGCACATGTTGCAGTGCCGTTCAGTTTGAATGGCTCACCAAAATACTAATCCATGGCACTATGGTCAGACTGGGTATGAAAGGGGTTTTGGCAGCACCGGGGTGCCTTGGTAGACTGACAATGAATTTCCTGCCTTAAAGTGACATTAAACCCTCCAGATTTTTTAACATAAACCAATACTGTAATGTGCGCCTTACTGTAATCCATGGTCGTTTCCCTTCTCTTTGCTGCTCTTCCTTTTAAATCCTCATGTCTTCTCATGCTGGGGGAGAACTTCCCTTTGCAGCTGAGTGCCTCTTCCTGTAGTGCTGGCTCAGGTTGTGAACCTTCACACAGACACCATGTGTCCAGAGACAAGGCAGTCTGCTGCAAAACAGAAGTTCTCCCCCAGCATGAGAACAGATACAGATTTAAAAGGAAGAGCAGCAAAGAGAAGGGAAACAACCATGGATTACAGTAAGCCACACATTACAGTATTGGTTTATGTTAAAAAATCTGAGGGTTTAATGTCACTTTAACAAAACGCACGTTATTGTGCACTAATGAGCCTGCATTACCGCACTGGGAAAGTGTGAACCGGACCAGAAACCTATTCAGGAGCATCGAGAAGCTCTTAGCTCTATTTGGTAAAGTAGAGTTCCAGTCATTCCAGTTTAAAGTGACCCTGTCAGCTGCCTAGACAATGTCCATACGGAGGTCTCTTGTAAAAGAGGATGTACTGGACACATGGCGGCCCGTGTCTTCTATCCCTTCTGTTCCAGCCCCGGTCCGACTCTTCAGCATTTGACATTTCTGGGACTGTCGGATGCCTGAGTCCCCCTTCAGCGCTGGAACAGAGGGAAGGTAGGTTAGGTGACCGACAGGGTCGTTTCATGTAATAAAAGCTACGTCATGCATGAGTGACCCCTCCTGGTAAGAATGCGTATAACAATGTGCTGATCTTTTTCCTTCTTGTCTCTTAGTGCCCGGCCTGCACGGGACCTCTCTCCACCACTATCTCTTACTGGTCTGGAGGGTCTCTTCCCTCGTTACTCAACGCTGTATAATGCTGCACCCCTCCTCCCCGATCTGCAGCTCAGAGACGCTCTAGAGAAGGAGACCGCACGACGCAAGGTACCCTTTATATAGATTTGTTACAGGCACAGATGTTTGTTATCTTTGTATTCACTTCTCCTTGATCAGGATACTTCTTTGTTTCTCTTCTGGAAAGCTGGAGGAACCTTCTTGCAGGCTGGCCACTATTGCTTTTTGCATTTGAATTACTTTTTAAATTTGTATTTATCTTGTCATCTTTTACTTTTATAAATGTTTTATTTTTTAGATTTTTCTTATTATTTTTTACTTTTTTAATTTCATTATTATTACTTATTAGTTTTTTTTAATGTAATTATTTTTTTCACTTAACTTTATTGCTATTACACGGGAGCTAACAATCCCCTGTGTGATAGCAATTGGAGGTGAGATGGAGGACGGACAGCCTGCAGTGTTATTACGAGTGATCTCGGCGACATCGCCAACATTACTTGTAAAGAAACAAGCGGCTTCCCCCATTCTTCATTTAGTCCTGCTTGTGCAAAGCAGGGCTAAATGTAGAAAACAAATCCACTCCATGTTCCGGGCGTCGGGTGACTTCAAACATGTGCCGCCCCGAGGCCGGGCCTCGGTGGCCTTGCCGGGAATACGGCCCTGGTGACAGGGTCTCTTTAAAGCCCATTTGTAGTTTCACCACAGCTGGAGGGCCGGAGTTTGGCTACCCCTGTGATAGAGTGTAATCCAGCATGTGATCAGTAGAGTGCACAGGTACAGTCTGCAGCATCCAGTGGCCAGCAGGGATGCACTTCTAAAGGGATGCCAGGGATGTGTTCTTTCATATTACCCAGGGTCAGAGCTTTATCATACGCCGAAACTAATCTCCATGCCACTATCAGACAGTAAGGTGTGAAGGTGCTTGAGCTACATCACGTTATCGCAACATAGGCGAAGCAAAGAAAGGTAATTGAGGTAAGAAGGAGCCGCTGTCACAGCAGCATGGCCGAGCGGTGAGGAGAGAGAGAGAGCCCCTCGGGCAGGATCTTCTGACAGCCAGTGGCTCTCTCTCTCTCCTCACCGTTCGGTCATGCTGCTGCGCCATAGTACTATGTGTCCCCAGTTATGAATGAACAGGAAGTGCTTTATTAATGGGGAGTAGCACTCACTATAGAGGCTTCTCCCCATTCAGGAACTGGTTGATAGAAAATATTTTCTGAAATGACTGGGAAGCTCTGTACTTACCATTCATTTAGAACAGAGTCTGCAGAAAAAGAGATTGAGGACTTTGTTAACTCAATTTTTTTTTCTATTTTTAAAGGGAAATATCAGGGGGCTGTTTAGACCCCTGATGTTTCCCCGAAGCCCTACTCGTCCGTCCGTTACCCCGCCCCCAAGAGTAAAAAAAAGAAATAATAATAATAAAAATGAAATAAAAAAACATCCTAGAGGCGGGGCGCATGACATCACATGTCGCTGCTCATGTGCGGCGCAGGGTGACGTCACACACCTGTCGGGCTCTGAGTGAAATGATGTGATTCATGGCCAGTTAGGGTCTTATTCCATGCTCATATGCAATTCATAGTTCTAATGGGTTTAAATACACTCGGAGGAGGCTTATCTGGAGGTTACTCCTGCTATTTAAAGGTACAGTGACACACGAGACCTCTCGTGTGTGTGTGTGCACCACAGCAATCTGAAACATCAGGAGAAGTTTGCCTTTGTGCCAGTGCAATCTAAGCTCTGCCTCCCCCTCAATGTGTCTGTCTTCTGTCATGACTCCGGATCATCTGTTAAGCCTCTGCGCAGTAATCCCGTTAATGCATCACATGGGTCCAGCTTGAATTAAACCAGTTCAGCTCTCTTATAATTAACCTCCCATTACACATCAAAAAAAAATTTACAATGGCATGCTTTTCTTCTCTCTCTCTTCCCTCTACAGCATCTGGAGCGACACATCCAAAACCTGCAGAACGAGATGCTGGAATTGCAGCAAAGACTGTCCGTCTCCCTGACCGCCGACCACAGAAAGGACGCCATGATCCAGCAGCTGGACCAGGTGACGCTTTCTCTCATCACATCAAGCCTCATGTACTAATCAGCATCTCGAGGGAAATGAATAAAGCATCCTTTAGCACTTACATTTTGCGTTTCAACTAGTGCCAGCTGAAAGCTGAAATCAGACTTTTAGTGTCAGGCACAAACTGTTGAGGGTATCAGACTGTGCTGCATATTGGTGCTAGTTACATTTGTAATAACTAGGGATGCCGCGGAAACATATCGGCCGAAAATTGCACTTTTGGATAAATGCCGAAAGTGCCATTTTCCTGCCGATGCATCGGCGCATCCCTGCTTTCTTTCCTCCCTGCTGGGCGCTGCTCTGTGTCCCAGCGGGGAGGAGAGAAAGTGTGACAGCCAGCCAAACGCTGCGGGAGTAGAGCGGCCGGTGTCTCTCCTCCCACACCGCTCAGCCTCCTATCACAGTCTGGCATTCCGACAGTGTGTGGGCGGAGAAAGCCCACACAGTGTGTGGGCGGAAAAAGCCCGCGCTGTCATAGGAGGCTGACCTCTCCTCCCGCACCGCTCGCTCAGCCTCCTGTGACAGCGTGTCGGAGAGGAGATCAGTACAAACACTCAGTGATCGCTGAGTGTTTGTAGATAATTGACAGAGTATGGTTACTATATCCTCAATTACTATATCCTCAATTATGTCCTATGTTACTATATCCTCAATTATGAATGAATGGGAAGTGATCTACATCACTTCCTGTTCATTCATAGTTGTAGTTATAGTAACCATACTCTGTCCTCATGTTATGAATGATCAGGAACACTCAGTATAGAGGATTCCTGTTCATTGATAACAGGGGATGCAGAAAAAGAGATTGAGGACTCTGTGTGTCTCTGAGGACTCTGTGTCCTCAATCTCTTTTTCTATTTTAAAGGGAAATATCAGGGGTCTATTTAGAGCCCCAATATTTCCCCAAAGCCCCTAAAAGTAAAAAATGAATTAATAAATAAATATGAAAAATTTAAAAGTTTATAGAAAATTAAAAATATTTTTTTTAAAAATGTGAAAAAATTAAAATTTTTCGGTTTCGGCCTGACAATTTTTTTTATTTCGGTTTTGAAGAAGGCTATAAATCGCAGATTGAAAACCTGGTGCACATTGGTTCTGATAGATTCTTCCATTCCAGACTCTGGCTATGGTGGTGGGGGGCTGGAAGCAGCAGGAGCATCAGCGCGAGGAGGTCGTCAGTCATCTAAAACAGGAGAAGGAGGAAGCAGAGCGAGCCAGATCAAAAGATCAGAAGGTGAGCTAGAGGTCGGCCATGTTGGGAAGGGCCTACTGTACACTCTACACAAGCCCTCCTCTAATAGTCTGTTCCAACTTTCAGGCACTAAATCAGGTGCAGCAGGAGCTGGCCGAGGTGCTGGAGTCCCTGGAGAGGGAGAAGCACGCATCAGACGATCGCCAACTAGAACTGCAGAGACAGGTGAGTCATTATTGTTTTATTGTCTGAATACCTGTTGGATTTTTTTCCCCCCATTGTTTCATGTCTCCTGTATATATGATGCAAAAAAACCAAGAACAACACAATTTGCATCTCACAGTAAAAACTATATTTTCCCCTTTTAAAGAGGAACTCCTCATCTTGGACATCCGCCTGCCCTGGCATTCTTCCTGGACTGAGTGGTGCTACCATAATAATAATATATTATAATATAATGCATACACTGAATAACGCATATAAGCATGGGCATTGCTCACACCTGGGTGTAGGATCATCTGTGAGGTTTACTTCCATGCAGGTCGATGAGCAGGCCACCAGAGTCGCCCAGCTGGAGGCTGAACAGGAGGCCGAGGAAGAGGACCGAACGAAGGAACGCAGAGAGCTGGACTCGCTCCAATACAGAATGCAGAATCGGCAAAAGGCCTGGGAAGAAAGGGAGAGAGAGCTGCAGGAGGAGTGCAGGAGAGTCCAGGAGGAAGGGACGGCAGAGCTGGAGAAGGAGAAGGTGAGAGCCAAAAAGGGAAATTCCAGGAGAGGGTGAGATGCACAGCACCGGCCCAAAGACAGATTTACTGATCTGTATGAGCTCACATTCCTTTGTCAACCCCCTTGCTGAGTATTGTACAGATTAGGGAGGGCTGGTCTTCTAAAGCTCACCACATGCATGAATCTAACTGTACAATCTCCTTTAGATCTCCGAAAGGGGGGGTACAGCTGACCTTCCTGTACTGGGCCCAGGCCCCATCGGGTCAGCGAAAGGCCGGCAGCTACTGCCGCTCTGGACAGAAAGCCAGCTGCATGGACATGAACTTTGTGTGTGTGTGTGTGTATAAATATATATACACAACCTTTATTTTTGTTATCCATTGTGCCCCCTTCACTCTCTAGCTCTTGTGTGATGGGCCTGAACCAGAATGCTAAGAATTCATATACTAGACTCTCCCATTTAGAATGTCTTTCCTATGGTAGCTTGCGCAGTTTGTCCCGTCATGCTGTGATTGGTGGTTCCACAGCATTGGAAGGGCGTCAGACTGCTTATCTGCTAATCAGTGCCATTTCCATCCCTTTCCCACAGGCTCTGACCCAGCAGGAGACCCAGAGGTCTCAGCAGTTGCAGCTGGCTCTGTCCTCCCTGCAAAGTGATGTCCTGCGCTTGGAGAGAGACCTGCAGACATCGCATCGGGAGAGAGATACTCTGCTGATGGAGCTCAACCTAGAGAAGGTAACGGCCGATCCGAGTCATTCTCCCGCACTGCAACTTTATTTAAAGAGATAGTACGTTCAAATATATTAGGAGTTTTATATGAAAATAAACTATTTTTTTACTCATCAGATCTGGAAAAAGTATTTAAACATTGATTGTGTAAATTTTAATAAATTGCAGATTTCAATCTGACTCTGAAGAGATGTTATAAACTGTGGGAGAGGAAAAAAAATGTTTCCAATCAAAGCTGGAGATCTGCAATCAGCAGGGAACACATGTTTTGATGATTGACAAGCTCTGGCTCTGAATACGCAGGAGGTGTGTTGCACTTGTGCAGAGAGACCACTGCTTCCACCAGAGAGCAAGGGTCCTTCTCTGCAGCAATGCTAGCAGAGGACAGGCTTGTCTACTCAGGCTGTGGCTGCTTTTTAAAGAACTCAATTGAGTACCTATTGGTGTGTGTGCAACCTAACCCAGCTCCACCCCTTATCTCTATGTCTGGATTGTGTGAAACACGTCCGAGTGGGCGGGCCTGAGGAGAGACTGTTCTGCTCATGCGCATAGAAATCCGCTGCGCTAAAAAGCACAGTTCTCAGCTCTTTTGTATAATATGATAGAGCGCGCTCAGCAGCACCAAGTAAAACGACTCACGTTGGAAGCTCAGTAGAACGTCCTGACTAGTTCAAGGGAGCTCCTGTTTATTTATAGGGCACAAAGGGATAACAAAAAAGGATTGCCCCAACAGCCAATCAATTCCTCCAATACATTTACATAACAGTCAGCCAATCAGACACATGTATACATTTGAATAGACAATAGAAAGGGGAGTATATGCACATGACCGTGCAGCATACCGTGCACAGCTCCCGGCTGCTAGTTCATGTGACCTCCGTGCACACCAGTTAACAAAGAAAACTATGTGCAGTGGAGTTCACGCCAAAAAGCTACACAAAGGAATCGGAACGCTACTCCGATCAGACTCGTGCATACACTCCCGCCATTGTCACTGGCGCGAATTCTATTCAGCATTGCTCCGTGAACAATGCCTAATAGTACTATACTACTATTCCTGTGAATGTGAGTTTATCTGCAGGGAAGAAATAACGTCACCAGCACTCCAAATAATAATTTAGCAATAGTCCATTTATTGACACATTGCCATTCAAATTGAATGGCAATGTGTCATTAAATGGACTATTGCTAAATTATTATTTGGAGTGCTGGTGACATTTCTTTCTTCATTTGAGTTTCTCACGGTGCCATCCGTGGTCACTACAAGCACCCACCCGTCTTTACGGGTCCCTTGATGTTCCGGTAAGGAGTGCAGCAAGATCTCTGATTCCTTTTATCTGCAGGGAAAATGCCATATTATTTCCAATGTGCTGATTAGACACACTAAAAAGACATGAGCGTATGTTCCTTCATAAAGGCAGATGTGTATCCAAATGATACTGTGTCCTCAAAAGCAAATACGTCCCTGGCAAGCGAATACATCTGCGCATTACACAGGGGCAAGTTTATACACTTGCGAAGCGGACACCGCTCGGCAACGCACACCAATCTCCCCCGGCCAACGGCCCAGCACATGGACCATTTGACGGCGGAGACCTCTGCGCATAGCCGCCGCGTCTTCACATCCATAGGAAGATATCCACTCCAATGGTTTATCCTCAGTGCTGATTAACCCCGGCTACGCTCCATAGAGCATAACCCGGCAAATCTGACACTGAGAGACATGATGACAATATTCGTTTATACAATCTACTAAAAACACATCCTAATAAAAACGTCAACAAGACTAAATGCTTCTGTGTGATCTGTACTAACTACAATAAAATATCGTCAAGGGAAATATGGAGTGCAGCCGGCGCATTACCCGAGCATTCCTTCTTCAATGCAAATAAAAATAGAAAACCAGCTGCACCCCTTACCGGAACGATGGAAGACCTGCAAAGCAGGTGGGTGCTTGTAGCGACCACGGACGGCACCGTGTATAGCACAAGAAAATCAAGTAAATGTCACCAGCACACCAAAAGATATTCAGCAAAAAGTCAATTTATTGCCACATTGCCATTCAGTACAAGCGCTTTCGGGGCCTCAAGGGTACCCCTTCATCAGGCTCAGAATGACACAGTCTCAAAACACCATCACCTTTAAATACACACAAATGAAATGTTTAAAACACACCCCTCACACCCAATCTCGTCATTGCACGAGTATCTCCCGCCATTTCATATGAAAAGTAGGCTCACATGTGGCAGGCTTATGGGGAGGCAACGTGATCCCCTCACCCAGCTGTTGGTACGCGAGTAACATTGGCCGAGTAGCATCGCCCGGCGGGAGATACTCGTGCAATGACGAGATTGGGTGGGAGGGGTCTGTTTTTAAACATTTAATTTGTGTGTATTTAAAGGTGATCGTGTTTTGAGACTGTGTCATTCTGAGCCTGATGAAGGGGTACCCTTGAGACCCCGAAAGCGCTTGTACTGAATGGCAATGTGTCAATAAATTGACTTTTGCTGAATATCTTTTGGTGTGCTAGTGACATTTACTTGATATTCCTTCATTGGTCCCCTAAACCAAACATGGGTATCCTAGGAATTTTGGAACTCTCCGTTAGGGATCGTTCACCTTTTTTTTCATTTTTTTGTAAACTTGCCCTTTAAATATGAGGATCTTCTGGTTGTCACTGAGGTTTCCACAAGATAACAAGAGGAAATTCAACAGCCGCATACATGTATTTACTTGTACTGGAAGCGTCTTTGTTCTGTTTTTTCTGTAAAACAAACACTTTTTAAAAATGCGACGGACTTTGTTCTTCTCAAATATAAACTTCCTGATTTTTGGAAAAATGAACCAAATCTTTCTTTGCAGGCGCGTAATGAGTCCGAGAAGGTGCGGCTAGAAAGCGAACACAAAATGCGATTGGAGGAGGAGATAACGGAGAGACTGGCCACTATCCATGAAGACAGCGCTCAGCACTTGTACAGTGTGAGAGAGCAGAACAGGTAGGACATAGGAAATGTCCAGAGGTGTGCGCATGGAGCTACATTGCCACCGTACAACATAGAAAAGTGAGAGTGAGACAACGTTGTCAATATTATTATTTTAGTATCACCGAAAGTGGTTGTCCTGTGTTCTCTGGTCTTATTCATGTGCATTTAAATTGTTATAATAAAGTGTTTTTTACTGGATATAGTGGCGACTCTGACACTCTATGACTACTGTGGTTTAAATCAGTTTGGGATTATACCGAGTTATTTTCAGTACATTGCCACCGTACATGCCAGTGAGTGATAATCATTTACTGTAGGTACATCTATAACTATCAGGAAGTTTATTTGAAGCTTATTGCATAAAGCTGACATCACTTCTGCTGAACACTGAGAGAGATTTCATTTTGTATTTTGTTTATCTCGTCTGACTTTTTTTTCTTTTCTTTTCGGACACTCAGGAAACAGTTGCTAGATCTCGCTTCACAGCACGAGGCTGAGCTGTCCAACCAGCTGTCCCAGTTCAAGTCAGAATTTCAGGAGCGAGAGAGACGTCACCGTGAGATCATCATGGACTATGAGCACAAGTGAGTAGCTGTTTTGCTTTATGCAGAGACATATTTTTTCTGTCTGTATTCCCCTGCAGGAGGAGGACAAAGTCATAGCCCCCTTCTATGTATCACCCTGCAGGAGGAGGACAGACTCATAGCTCCCTTCTGTCTGTATCACCCTGCAGGAGGAGGACAGACTCATAGCCCCTTCTGTCTGTATCACCCTGCAGGAGGAGGACAGACTCGAGGAGGACAGAGTCATAGCCCCCTTCTATGTATCACCCTGCAGGAGGTGGACAGACTCATAGCTCCCTTGTGTCCATTTTTGTAAATGACCTTGCAAGTGCAGCACTCATTTCATAGTTTATTTATTTTTCCCTCTGCTCTCTCTCTAGGTTGTCTCGCGCAGAAGAATATTGTCAGGAGCTTTCCCGATCTCTGCATCGATTAGAAAAAGAGAGAGCAGAGATGCTAACACAACTGCAGGATGTCATGAAGAGCCACTGGAGCCAGGCCCTGCGGGTTCTCTCCTCTAAGGTTAGTCCTTTTATCGTAAATATATATTAAAGTGGACCTGAACTTAAAAACTGAAGATTTGGTATATTATAGGGAACATCTAAAATTGTTACCGGTGCTTTTTTTTTTTTTGTCTTGAATTCATGTTAAAAAAAGCAGTGTACTTCCTGTGCTTAGGCACTCTTGTACCTGAGCCTCTACGGCATTTTAGATGCCTGGGTACAGGAGGTGATTTTCCAGGGGCTGTAACCTAGTGTTTCGCTCTCAGTCCTTCCCCCAATTCATGTGTTCCAACCTGTCTGTGTCAGTACTGCAAAAAAGGTTTCAGGGGTTTTACTTCAACCTTTTTACTGTCCCCAAACCCAAAACAGGGCATCCATCGTATCTTGGCAAGGCAGTTCGAGACCCTGCCATTTGACCAGTCTTCCGCACCCTGGGTGTTCACTGAGGTTCTGGTCCTTGTGCTAGCCACGTTGCAGTCCAAGGGCATCTGCATTGTAGGATATCTGGACAACCTCTTGTTGAGGGAACAGTCATAATAAGTTCTGGTCAACAAAGCAACATGGACAGTTCAGACCTTTTTAAAAAGGTTCAGTTGGGTCCTGAACCTTCTGAAGTCACCGATGGAGCC